GCCATCGCCCTCGGCCCCACCTCCTCCTGCGTGGGCGTCTTCAAGAATGGCCGCGTGGAAATCATCGCCAACGACCAGGGCAACCGCATCACGCCGTCCTACGTGGCGTTCACGCCCGAGGGGGAGCGCTTGATTGGGGATGCCGCCAAGAACCAGCTTACCTCCAACCCCGAGAACACCGTGTTTGATGCCAAGCAGCTCATCGGCCGCACCTGGAACGACCCTTCTGTGCAGCAGGACATCAAGTACCTGCCGTTCAAGGTTGTTGAAAAGAAAGCCAAGCCCCATATTCAAGTCGATGTTGGAGGTGGACAGACAAAAACATTTGCTCCTGAAGAAATTTCCGCTATGGTCCTGACAAAGATGAAGGAAACTGCAGAGGCTTACTTGGGGAAGAAAGCGGAGGGTTAGGGTGCAGTGATGTGGCCATGGTGTACAAACGACAGTTCCTTGTGTTAAGTAGTGTTGAAATTATGTTGTGCCATAGAGGCTTTGCTTAATCTTCAGAGAAACACTCGGACAAGTGGGAATAATTCTGTGAATTGTTGAATAGGACAGTATGCGTTGTTCTCTTTAGGTTGTTGAAAAGAAAGCCAAGCCCCATATTCAAGTCGATGTTGGAGGTGGACAGACAAAAACATTTGCTCCTGAAGAAATTTCCGCTATGGTCCTGACAAAGATGAAGGAAACTGCAGAGGCTTACTTGGGGAAGAAAGTAAGTTCCTGAGTGCTACTAGTAAGAAGTTAAGCAGCAGCTTTACAAAACTAAAGATGGGTGGGCTGGATCTGTGGACTAACCTTGAAATCCTAAACTCTGTTCAGTGCTGCTGGCCCCTGAGGCAGCCCAGTTGAATGGGCTCAGCTGGTAGGGGGGGTTTGCCTCTCTTTAAAGAACAATGGGGTAATTATCAGCATTGCTGCGGTTATTTAAAAGCTATGTGCTTTTTTACAATTTTGGAATCAAAATGAATCTCTTGCTCCTTATTCAGGTTACCCATGCTGTTGTTACTGTGCCAGCCTACTTCAATGATGCGCAGCGTCAGGCTACGAAAGATGCCGGTACTATTGCTGGGTTGAACGTGATGAGAATTATTAATGAGCCGTAAGTAGCCTAACCTATCCTGCCTGCCGGGGAGGTGGGGGGCGGTAGTCCCCGTTTGCTGAATGGGCTGTTCCCTCTACAGAACGGCTGCTGCCATCGCTTATGGACTGGACAAGAGGGAGGGTGAGAAGAACATCCTCGTGTTCGACTTGGGTGGTGGAACTTTTGACGTCTCCCTCCTCACAATTGACAATGGAGTCTTTGAAGTTGTGGCTACTAATGGCGACACTCACCTGGGTGGAGAAGACTTTGACCAACGCGTTATGGAACACTTCATCAAACTCTACAAGAAGAAGACTGGAAAAGATGTCAGGAAGGATAACAGAGCTGTGCAGAAGTTAAGACGGGAAGTAGAGAAAGCAAAGCGAGCCTTATCATCTCAGCACCAGGCTAGAATTGAAATAGAATCCTTCTTTGAAGGAGAGGATTTCTCGGAGACGCTTACTCGAGCCAAGTTTGAGGAGCTGAACATGGTAAGTTTAGAAAGGTAAAGTTACATTGCCTCAGCTCTAGATTGGAGACTTGTGGATATGCAGTATTTCACGCTCTGACACTGCACTTTGGGGTATGAATAACTTCCTGCTTGCACTGAAAAGCAGGCAGCTGCTCCTTGCCAGGGTAGCTGGGGCTGTGCGTGTGTTTATGACAGCTGAGGTCTTGTCAAGGCTGGTCATAAGCCAGTTGATGTTCCTCTTCTATAGTGGTTGCTCTTTGTACCCTAAGGCCGCATAAATCGGAGGCTAGGCATGTGGGAATACAGTCTTACAGTCCTGGGCTTTTTTGTTGTCTAGGACCTGTTCCGTTCCACTATGAAGCCTGTTCAGAAAGTTCTGGAAGATTCTGACCTAAAGAAGTCTGACATTGATGAGATTGTTCTTGTCGGTGGCTCTACTCGCATCCCCAAAATACAGCAATTAGTTAAAGAGTTCTTCAACGGGAAAGAGCCTTCTCGTGGCATTAATCCAGATGAGGCTGTAGCCTATGGTGCGGCTGTCCAGGCTGGCGTTCTCTCTGGGGACCAAGACACAGGTAATGACACCTTCACTGTCACTTCAAGAGAGCGCTGACTCTGAATAGTGGATATTAGTTATTGACAAATGTAGCAGAACTTCTTTTCCAGTCCTTAAGAAGTTTTGTGCCTCTGAGACCTCAGGATCCTGGTTGCAGTGATGAGATGTTGTTTTTTTCAGGTTGAAGTCATGTCAGTCTTCCCTTGATCTGTTACAGGTGACTTGGTGTTGCTTGATGTCTGTCCTCTGACACTTGGCATTGAGACCGTCGGAGGCGTAATGACTAAACTGATCCCAAGAAACACTGTTGTTCCCACAAAGAAGTCTCAGATCTTCTCCACAGCTTCTGACAATCAGCCAACTGTGACAATCAAGGTCTATGAAGGTAAGTGTCACCTGTGGTGGACCATGTTGACAGCTGGAGTCTGTCTACAGGACTTTAATACTTGCTACTGTCTTATCACAAAGGCTGTAGATACTTCTAGATGGTTATGGATGTCTCCTCATGGAGAAGAGCTTGGTAACAGTGCTGGCTTTCTGAAGCTGCTCTGACCAGGCGTCTTGACCTGCGTCAAAAGCTGTTACTGGAACGTTTTTCAAATGTGTCTTTTTCCATGGCTCTATTCTGAAGAGCTCTTCAGAGCAGGGGGTGATGCTGTAGGAGGTGTCTGGACAGGTGTCGGATTGAAATTAACCTTACCTTTAAGAAGTGTGTAGCTCGTGGTTTCACAAAGTACAACCACAGCCAGGAAAGAAAGAAACCGTATCTAATTGTCTTCTAGGTGAGCGTCCCCTCACCAAGGATAACCATCTTCTGGGAACTTTTGATCTCACTGGGATCCCTCCTGCCCCTCGTGGTGTCCCCCAGATCGAGGTTACCTTTGAAATAGATGTGAACGGAATCCTCCGTGTCACAGCTGAAGACAAAGGCACTGGCAACAAAAACAAGATCACGATTACAAACGATCAGAATCGGCTGACACCAGAAGAGATTGAGAGGATGGTTAACGATGCTGAGAAGTTTGCTGAGGAGGACAAGAAGCTTAAAGAGCGCATCGATGCCCGGAATGAGCTGGAAAGCTATGCCTATTCTCTGAAGAATCAGATTGGGGACAAAGAGAAGCTGGGTGGTAAGCTGTCATCTGAAGACAAAGAAACAATAGAGAAGGTGGTGGAGGAAAAGATCGAGTGGCTCGAGAGCCATCAAGACGCAGACATTGAAGACTTCAAAGCAAAAAAGAAAGAGCTGGAGGAAGTTGTTCAGCCGATTGTTAGCAAGCTCTACGGAAGCGCAGGCCCTCCCCCTGGTGAAGAGGAAGCAGCAGAGAAGGACGAGTTGTAGATACTAGCATCTCTGAATGTGGTGTGTGTGTATATATTGGACTCAGGAACACTTGTTTAAAATATTGAACTCTTAATTTGGAATGTAACTCTGAATCTTCACTCGTGAGTGGAGCTGGAAACGCTAGCCCGAAGTGGCTGTATACTGCTTTTCGTTAGCAGTTGCTTGATGTCTGGGGAGGGAGGGGTAGCAGGGGGGGAGTGTAAATGCGAAATGGGTTTAGAAGTCTTGGCAGTGGAAGCGTTCTATTTAACAACTCGGTCATGTGAATTTGGTGTAGAACTTTTCTACCTGAAGTGACCACAATAAATTTGTTATTTACACTGGAACTCTGTTCTAGTTGTGGTTTCCATTACCTAGTTACAGCAGCTAGTTTTAACCGGGATGTGGACATCGTGACCGTGATCCTGAACGACAGGATTCGGATCAGCCGTCGGTACGGTTCCCCTTCAAGGAAGGCAAGCCTTTCCTGGGATCCTGTAAATGGCAACAGCCCTACCCTCAGGTGAGCTTTGCGCCTCCCAAGTCTGGCTGCCCTACCGCTTCTCTTGCGGAGGAGAGCCCCGAGTTTACTTGGCGTGGAGAAAGCTGGAAAGGAGAAGGTTGAGAGGCTTGAGAGCTGTAACCATGCGGGCACTGTGCAGTCCGAGTTCCTCCCTGCCTCGGGGCTACTGCTCCACGCTGGCGAGCCTTGCTGAGGCCTAAGGGGACCTGACCTCAGCCTGTGCGGTGCTGACAGACGCTTGTACCTCTCTCCTGTTGGCGAGCAGCCTGTTCAGGGGTGGGGAACAGGTGGTGCAAACAGCTCCGTTGCCCTTGGTTGAACGGGAACTCCTGACAAGCGCTACACCCTGTTTCTGAAGTGTCCTGGTATACTTGGAACTGAGTGAGGCTTATGATGTAATAGATCCTTATAAGGAAAGGGGGGTGGTCCCTCTTTGCTTGCGCAGCCTCACTGGAGCCTGCAAGCCTCTGGCTGGAGAGGTAGTTATCAATCAGTCAGAGCTCTGGCAGAGCTATTTGCATCAGCGATGATGCAAACTTAAATGCAAAGCATGTGAGGGAGAGGAGACCGGCCTAACTACAAATACAACTTCTGCAGTATTAAAACTGGTTTAGGAGCTTTATTAGTCTCACATGAGACAATAGTCTAGTTTTCTGAAAACTAGCCTACACTTAAATTTAAAAAAAAAGCCTAATTGGAACTTGGTCTTCTTATTTGATCCATGATTTTCATCCAAGCCATGGGATTAGATAACTAAACTGAGTACAGAAGGAGCTTTTGTGGTGCCTGCTCTAATACCTCCTTAAAACCCCTTAGCACTTTACATTTCCCCTGGTGTAGGGGACATTTTTTCTGGTTTTCACTCACTCTTTTTCAAAACTGAAAGCTAAAACTCAAATCACCCCCCCCAACTCTGTTTCCAGGTAACACTGCGGCTTTGCAGATAGGAGTGTTTCTGTAGCCAACAGTACATGAGGTTACGTCAGGCTGAAAGCTGTCCAGGCACGTGCCTGCCCCAGGGAACGCTGTACCTGCTGCCAGCAGGACTGCCTACGGAGAAAGCGCCCGTACCCCAGGGGTGCGGTAGCACAGTGCCGTCTGTTTGAGGGTAAGAATTTGTTTATTGGAAAGGAGAATTAGCGTAATCTGACAGTACTATAAAAACTGTAGAAAAGGCTGGTGCTGTGCAGGACCGCAGCTCTGCTATTCGATCAGACTGACAACACAGTCTCTGTATATTTCCCCCTGTGTGTCCATCCCACCAAATACTAACAGTAGATGGACGACTGTGTCTTCGGTGCACCCCTCATCCTGGCTGTTGTGGAGGGGGTCAGCTTTGTCACTTGCTGACACAGTCGCCTCCTTCCCAGCTTTGTCTTCCCCGGTGACAGCTCCCATGTCTCCGCTCTTGCCAGCCCGCCAGGGAACAACGCACATGGCGTGGTCCAGTCTCCCAGCAGGCAGAGGGGAATCAAACTGTAGGAGCGTCCACTGCTGCTTCTCTGCAGTGCAAAGACACACATTCACATCTTCAAATGTAGCTTCACAGGCTTAGAAAGCATGCTGGGACAGTGACGTCATTAACTAGACTAGTTTTCAACATTATAGAGCATTTCCGCATTTAGTCTCGTACTGGTGTAACTCCAGAGCAATGCCACTGACTACTAGGAGGGTGAGGGGGTAATGCATTTTCCACCAGACTGGCATTTACCATTACACAGCTGAGAGAAGTCTCCCTACCTGTGTGATACTTGTATGTAGTATCTAGTGTCCCCTCTGGACCTATTCCACCAAAAATGTACAAGTGGTCTTTAAACACAGCTGATGAGTGGGATGCCCGTCCTCCTGGGACATCACCGGTGGCTGGTATCTTAACCCATCTCATGTCATCTGTTAGGAGAAAAAGAACATGTCTGTGGTTATGCATTACAAAAAACCCACAAGTTTGGATGTTTTAAGCAAATATGGCAATATTTTAACCACTTAAAACCTGATCTTTTAGAAAAAAGGTTCCCCAAAGTCAAAACACATCACACAACAGCTGTTGCTCTGCGGTACCTACGTCCATACTTACTTATATCAATGCAGAACAGATCATTGTAAAAAATATCACCAGCTAGACCTCCGTGTATGAAGAGTTTGGTCCCGACTGCAGCCACAACGTGTCCGTGCCGAGGAGAGGGGGGGTCACCATGAGTAGCTGGCTGGGACCAGGTCAAGGTGGCTAAAAATGGGAGTACACGTGCATTAGGAGGAAAACTCTGGTAGCTCTACAAACCGGTGACCCCAGAGCCCTGCTGAGGCTTCCTAAGGAAGCGCCTCCAGTGGAGTCGGAGAAGAGTTAACGCTGTATCATGCAGTGCAGGCAAGCCCTCTGATGGAGCTCCGTGTGCTGTTTGGGTCGCCCAGTAGCAGGACAGATTAATGCAAACCGGAAAGCAAACCCTTCCGGGCGCGCACAGGGCTGCAAGAGTGAACAGGACAAGTCTGACAGCACGTGAGCAGCACAGGACGATGCCACCACGGAAAGGAATCGGCTGCTGGGCAAATGTGACAAACCGCTCCCGTCTCCCATGGCATTCCTCATCCCAGAGCTTTATGCTGCCATTTTGGCCCAAATTCCCAGTGACTACATAAAGGTAAGTGCACATCAACAGCGAGGAACATCCACCCATCCATCTAAACTCGTAGCCAAAGCAGGGCCCAACATTTCCATGTCTTTGATTGAACCAAAACGCAGACCTCGCATTCAACAGAGGACGGATTCCACCGTTTGGTGTAACGGCCCTTCATGCGCCCAGAGGTACCTGTGTCAAACACGTGAAGCCGCTGGTCTGTGACAGGTTCTGCTCCTTTATCTCCCCCTCCGAACACGTACAGACAGTCTCCTATAGCTGCTGAGGATGTGTGGAAGGTCCTGGGCAGCGGCTGAACACCACTCACGTCAGGACTCTCCCAGGTTCCTGTTTCTAACGCAGACATTTGATTAACGAAGCAGTCAACGCGGTGACAGAAAACACGCTCCACTCCCCTTCCCAAGTAACAGCCGCCAGGAAGGGGCCTGGCAGCGGCTTTGCGGCCGGCCCGGCCCGCACCCCCACGACCCCGCAGCTCTGTATCTCGGGGCCGGCTCC